CTTAGGTACTATGAGTACCTAAGAATTGCTCCGTCTTCAGGATCTATACCTGTATCCAATCTGTATATTTAGCTGTGGAGGCGATCCTAAGAATTGTTATACAATACTTGTAAATATATATTTAACTGTGGAGGCGATCCTTATAAGAAATTTTTTTTGGACTCTTATTCATTAATTCTTTATTGCCTACAATTTAAGATAAAAACATATTATTAGTAGATATTTTATTCAAAATAAAATAGATAATGAGGGTATAAAAGTACAATAAAATGTGATGACTAAACACCTCCATATCTAAGCTTTTGCTAATCTTCTAGCAAAGAAAGAAAATAAAAGGAAAGGAAAAATAAATCCTAATTCATTTTTATAAGAATTGCGGTTGTATTTAGCACATACAACAAGCCTTTAAAACTCTAGATTAACCTAGAGGGTAAGTTGTGGTCTCGTGAGGGTTTACAGTAAATGCATCTGTAGGCTGTCTAAAAATCACAATAGATAGCTGATCCCTATCAAGCTTCAATGATGAAAGTTACAATCAGATAACTTTCAAGCCAACAAATGCAAGTGGTAAATGGAGGACTTTTCACATAGATCGAGAAGAGTTACAATTCAACGACACTTCCGATGACTGATGAAAACTCTATTCAGTGGTCTTCGCAATTAACAGTGAGAGTTACAATCTGACGACTGTCACACCCCATAATAGCTAACGCGAGGATTACTGAATAATGGTTCTTGCAGTGCTCTTCAGAAGAGGTTATAAGTCAATTAGCCCCTTCTAAAACGTGGAACTCATATTCGTGTTACAATTTTTGAAATGCAGGCGACCCCTGCGTTTCCAAGCTGCAACAAGCAAAACGCGAGCAGCCCTCACGTTTTTCTAAGACGCGAAGTTAGGGTCCTGAACGTCGAGTTGGGCGTTTGACTCATTCAAAAATGAGTCGAACGGTTTCAGAACCGGTTCCCCCACGATTTGAGGGATTTTCACCCACTTAGGAGCGAATTTAGGGGTTGGTTACACCCCTTATTCACCTATAAATAACCGACTTACTCAACTGAGTAAAGAGGTTAAAGATTGGGGAGATCAAAACTACACGGAGTTCAGATCGAGGGAGGGTTCGACTAGATTTCGAAGATCAAGTCATCTCTGAAATCAGTAGAGTTCTTGGCAGTTAAAAGATCAGATTCTTCAGCAACAAACAAATCTATTTGCCTTATCAACCGATTATTCGGTTCTAACAACTCTTTTCACAGAGTTCTAGCTCGTTCTGAGTTCTAAAAACTCGTTAAGAGTTATTCCTCAAATTTATCACATAAGTTCATTATTCCCACGAGATACAAAACGATCGGATCGTCATCGGAGAGCAAATTCGACGTAAACATTCGAAGGAGGCACTCCATCGCTACCGAGAAGAACCCAGTTTTAAAAAAATGGGAGAATCAAATTCATTCTCCTCTCTTTTGTAATCGAATTGTAATTGAGATCGAAGGAATACAAGTTAATTTTCTTTCAATTCTTTTATTACAAATTTTCCAACAAACAAAATATGGCGACTCCGCTGGGGACTAGCTTTTCTGACGAAGAAGTGGTGGCGCAATCCGACGTCCACCTCAAGGGAACTATTGTTGAAACTCTCATTGTGGAGTTTGATCAAGCCAAATACGAGAAAGCCCTCTCCTCTGGATCGCTTATCCCCAAGGCTAGGCACGACACCCGCAAGATCTCCTAAGAGATCAAAACTGTTGCTGAAATGCCAAAGAAAGCCCTCTCCTTTGGTCAAGATTCGTCGAACAGCCCCTCTGCCTCAGGAGCGGGCTTAGCCTCTGCCGAACTCGTCCAGAGAGTTGAACATCCCACGTCCGCGCTAACAAGACGTGCTATAGGCCATAAACGGCCCATAGAGGAGACAAGCTCCATAAATGCCAACGACGCTGCTGCTAGGGCTTTGAAACAAGCCAAAAAAAACGCCGCTCGAATACGGAGAAGATCCATACGACGGGCACATCTTCGAGAAAGTCAGATTCTTGCCCAACGCGAAGATCACGTTTTAGAGGCTCTGCCCGAGTGCAGCGTCTCCACTCCAGAACGCGTACTTCGTGGTAATGAACCCAACTACGAGCCTCGGTTGATACAGCTGAAACGCGACCCTCAGTGGCGCGTTATTCCTTCAAAATGCTACCCTCAGAAAGACGCTGCCGAAGATAAGCGCATACCTCACATGTGCGTTCAAATAAAACATGACCCTCAAAGGTCTGTTTCACTAACCAAACGCGATCCTCAGGGGTGCGTTCAACCAAAACATGACACTCGAGGGACTGTTTCATCATTTAAATGTAGGCCTCGGCCTAATGTTTACAAATCCAAACGCAACTCTCGTGTTGTTCTTCAAGAACGCGATCCTCAAGAGGTCCGCCAAGTCCAGAAAAGTCAACATGGGTTTAAAATCCATGTTCGTTCAAGAACGCGATCCTCAAGAGGTCCGCCAAGTCCAGAAAAGTCAACATGGGTTTAAAATCCATGTTCGACAAGAATCAATCTTACCCACTCAAGGGCAGGGGGTTCCATCTCCGTCTCCACGCCCAGAGAAAGATTCCTCCCAAGTTCCTGATTTACGGGAATTGTTGTCAAGAGGAAAACCAGCGCAGCAAGCAGCTCACTCATGCCAATGTGAGCGACTTATCTCTACAGTCCTTTCAGAATGCTATTGTTGCGCATTCGGATCACGAGGCTCAAAACATAGAATCTTCTTCTGAAAATGAGAAGGAGACGGAAAGAGAATTACACCCTCAGTCCACTAAGGTGGACGAGCTAGAAGCTTACCTCAACGCAATCGCCAACAGAAGCGAGCTCCGTGAAGAAGGGGTAATACGACCTTACCCCGCTGAATGGGATACAGCACCCTATCCACCGAAGTTTAAGGCTCCAACCTTGCAACCATTCGATGGCATAAGTTTGTCAAATCAGCACATCTACTACTACAAGTCACAGACTAGAGACGTGGTAGCAAACGACTCCATCCTGACCCGCTTGTTCATCAGCACTCTTAAAGGAGTCGCCTTCGAATGGTTTATGAAACTGCCTGCTGGATCTATTTAGAAATGGGTAGATTTAGAAAGGCTTTTCTTAGCTAGGTTCTTTGAGAACGATACTGAAGTTTCGGTCCCGACTCTTCTCGCCACCAAGCAGAGGAAGGGAGAATCTATCAAGACCTATGTGGAGAGATTCCGCAGCATGGCATTGCGATGCCCTCAGGTATGACCCAGTCAACTTTGATTGAAACTTGCAGGCATAACTTGCAGACTCAGCTCCTTGCTCAGATATGGGTAGCGGAGTGTCGCTCCTGGAGACAACTGGTATCGCAAGGAGAACAAGCCGAAGAGATTGTTGCTCGAGTTAAAGCCGAAGAAGTTACACAACCTTGTTGGCCTCTTTGTTTTGATGATGTTTAACATATAATTTACCACTAATGTTGTTTGTCTAGTATTTGTGTTTTTCTATATATTGTAGACAAACAACGTATGTTGGAGGTTGGATGGATTGCGCCATAACGATCATATCAAATGGAGGTTGGCGGAATTGTGGAGTGAAGCAACGTACAATTCAAAGTTAAAGATCAAGTTCAAGCTTCATCCGCGAGATTACCAAGTAGAGCTTATTGAAGACCAATCAAGCTTGGGTAACTTAGTTTAGGGTTTATATTATGTGTGTTTAATACGTTAAGCTCAATATCTATACACACACATTTTATTGGTTTCTTCGTATATATATATATATATAGTCATATATATATGTATAAGTTTTGGTTTCTATGCATATATATAGTTATATATACATACATGTGTTTTGAGTTTTTATGATTATATATATGAAATTATATATTTCATATTTTCTATTGTGTTTTTGAAAACATTGCATAGAATATGCAATTTTGTGAAAATATTGTATTCTTAGTTTATAGACTTCAATATCAGTTTATACATGTTTTACTAAGTCTATAAAAACATTTCACAAAGTTTCAAAAGTTGGTTTATGTCAAAACATCAAAATTCAAGTATCTCATATTTTCATGTTTTGGACTAGTTTGTAAAATGATGATATTTTTTATTTGGGAAGTCCTTTCTGATAACCAGTCGATGTAGCATGTTTATTATCATGTCTACAATCATTCCCCAAAGTTTTATATTTTTTTTGGAATTTATTTGATATTTTTAAACAGCGTTTTAAAATCAGATATACAGTTTTTGAGTATCAGTTTTCGGTCGACCGAACCGGTCGACCGAACCTGAGGTCAAATGTTCACTGGGCGACAGAGAGTCAGTCGGTCGACCGGTCCAGTCGACCGATGAAAATTTTCGGTCGACCGATGAATTTTCCGGTCGACCG